TCCCTTGAACTGTCCTTGCCCTCCGCCTGCAGGACATGGAGGCCAGCGCCACAGAACTCATGAATATCCTCAACAAGGTCGTGACCCGACGTGAGTGAACAGGGTCAGGGGGTGGGGAAGCCTTAGAGGTTTTAGGGACTGAGATGTCTGTGATCTCTGACCTCTGACCTTTGATCTGTCATACCCCCCCCCCCAGCCCAGGATCTGAAAACTGATGGTTTTGGCCTTGACACTTGTCGAAGCATGGTGGCTGTGATGGATGTATCCTTTGGGGCCAGTCTAGAGGAGGTCTTGGGTGAAGTTTTCCTTCTTTCCTTCCTTCCTTCCTTCCTTCCTCCCTCCTTCCCTCCCTCCCTTCCTGCCATTGTTACTTTTTTTCTCTCTCTCCTCTCCCTCTCTTTCTTTTTGGGTTTTGTAAACCAGGCTGGCCTCTAATTCACAGAGATCCGCCTGCCTCTGCCTCCCCAGCGTTGGGATTAAAGGCGTTCGCCACCACCATCACCACGGAGTGACGGGGAGTTTTCTGAGAGTGTGTTGAGAACAGCCAACTTTACCCAGGTTAACGGACCCAACCTTTACAGACACCTTGCTAGACAGAGGCACCTTAACAGGAAAGGAAACAGAGTCACAGTTGTTTTGTCTCTGGCCAGACCACCCAGAATTCACCTAATATTGATCTTTGAAGTTAATCAGGTTTGGGGCTGGTTGGGGCTTGGATAGCAGAAACAGTCATCTGAAGAATAAATAGCAGGATAGGAATTTGGACTTGGGAACTTCTGGCTTGAGAATCTAAGCTTGTTTTATTTATGTATTTACTTTAAAAGAATTTATTAATTAATTTTTTGAGGCAGAGTGTCTAGTCCTGGCTGTCTTGGAGTCTCTGAGTGCTGGGATTAAAGACATGCACCACCACCTCCTGGCTAACAATTTTGTTTTTTCGAGACAGGGTTTCTCTGTGTAGCTTTGGAGCCTATCCTGGAACTTGCTCTGTAGACCAGGCTGGCCTCGAACTCACAGAGATCCACTTGCCTCTGGGATTAAAAGCGTGCGCTGCCACCACCCAGCTCTGGCTAACAATTTTTAAAGATGCGTTTATTTTTCCCGTGTATGAGTGTTTTGCCTGAATGTAGTATGTACATTACGTGGGAGAGGACAGAAGAAGAATCAGACCGCTCAGAACTGGAGTTAGACAGCTGTGAGCTACCATGTTGGTGCTGGGAATTGAACCCAGGTCCTCTCTGCCAAAGCAACCCGTGCTCTTAACCACTGAGCCATCTCTCCAGCTCCAAATATCTACACTTCTAACAATCATATTTATACATATACCAACGGGCACAACTACATGCATTGGTACATGGGCACACATATTTTTTTTTCATTACTATACATTTATTTTATTTTTTTTGTGATGAGAATTGCTCTAATGGATTCGTCCACTTCAAGACCCAAGAGGCTACCATCGAGATGATGGATGGCGTGCTCCTCAATGACTGTAAAGTGTTTGTGGGCAGATTCAAGTCTTGAAAAGAGGGGGAAGCTGAGCTCAGGAACAAGGCCAAGGAATTCATCAATGTTTATATCAAAAACTTTGAGGAGGAAGTGGATGATGATGATCTGAAAGAACTATTCAGCCAGTTTGGTAAAACTCCAAGTGTCAAGGTGATGAGAGATCCCAGTGAGAAATCCAAAGGCTTTGGCTTTTCAAGTTACGAAAAACACGAGGATGCCAACAAGGCCTGGATATCAGTAGGCTCTCCCATCCTGTCCAGACCCGGGATGGTAGTTTTGCATGATGAGATTTTTAATTCCTTCCCTTTCAAAAATTTTTTCTCATTTTATTTTCTTCTGTTTTTGTTGTTGTTGCTATTCTTTTGAATTTTGTTTTGTTAGGCAAAAGTGATGCATACCTTTAATCCCAGCACTCGGTGGAGGGGGGCAGAGGCAGGTGGATCTCTATAAGTTCAAGGCCAGCTTAGTCTACGAGCTAGTTCTAGGACAGCCAAGACTATACAGAGAAACCATGTCTCAAAAAACCAAAAAGAAAAAAAAAAGTTAAAGAAAACTAATTTTATTTTTATTTATTTATTTTTGTTTTGTTTTGAGACAGGGTTTCTCTGTGGCTTTGGAGGCTGTCCTGGAACTCACTCTTGTAGGCCAGGCTGGTCTCAAACTCAGATTCAGCTGCCTCTGCCTCCCGAGTGCTGGGACTAAAGGTGTGTGCCACCACCGCCCGGCTTATGTTTTTTAAAGGTAGGGTCTCACACTGTAACCCGGGCTGGCCTCGAATTTACTATGTAGATCTTCTTGCCTTTGCCTTCTGAGTGTTGGGATTAAAGGTGTGTGCCACCATACTCAGCCAAAGCCTTTTGTTAAATAAATTAAACTATACCTTGGGTAACATGACTATAGTGTTGAATGGGAGTTGTGTGTTTGCCCAGATTCCCAGGATTGCTGTCATGTACCCAGTACATACAATATAGGATCTGGGTTGTGCCGTGTGTGTGTGTGTGTGTGTGTGTGTGTGTGTGTGTGTGTGTGTGTATCTGTCTGTCTGTCTGTCTGTCTGTCTGCATGAGCATGCAGGTATCCTCAGAGGCTGAGGGCATTGGGCCCCCTGGAGCTGGAAGTACAGGTGATTATAAATGACATGATTTGGGTTCTGGGAACCAAACCCAAGAACAGTCTAGTGTTCCTGACTGGGGGGCCATCTATCCAGCCTTCCAAGCTTATTTTATTTTTATTAATTTTTTTTTTAAAAAGTTAGCCTACAACACAATAATAGATTTCACTATGGCATTACCACACACACACACACACACACACACACACACACACACACCCCATTGTATTTTGTCACATTGTCCTTAACAATGTCTTGCCAGAGCGACACCACAGGAAAGCTGGGCTTTGAGGAGTTCAAGTACCTCTGGAACAACATTAAAAACTGGCAGGTGTGTGGCGGCCTCTGAAAGTCCCAGCATCCAGAGCCCCAAGCCATGGGGACACCGTGCTCCATGGTGCTTGGTGGCAAAGTGTCTTTCATTTTCTACAGGCCATATACAAACGCTTTGATGTTGACCGATCGGGGACCATCACTGGCAACGAACTCCCAGGGGCCTTTGAGGCAGCAGGGGGGCTGGCAGGGCTGTGATGGGCTAGAGGCGGGGTGGGGATGGAGGAGGGTTGTGCGCGCCCCACCCTGAGACCCAGCCGTTTCCAGGGTTCCACCTGAACGAACATCTCTACAACATGATCATCCGGCGCTACTCGGATGAGAGTGGTAACATGGACTTCGATAACTTCATCAGCTGCTTGGTCAGGCTGGACGCCATGTTCCGTGAGTGACTCTCTAGGTTTCCCTGGGGCAAACCTTCATTGCAAACCTTCATTGCAAACCTTCATTGCAAACCTTCATTGGCCAAGGTCTCCTCTAAGCCTGACTTTTACGTGAACAATGCTGGGGTCACCAAGCAGCGGCATCTGAGATGGGACTGGGTGGGATGGGATAGGCCAGTGAGAGCCACGTGGGCTGTGAGGGGAGGACCAAGGGATCATCTGACTCAGCCCCGGGGAACCAGAGAGGGCTGCCTGGAGGAAGGGAAGTGTGAACTAAGTCGTGAGGCACGAGGAAGAGTGACCTAGAGGGCGCAAGGAAGGTGTTGCAAGCCAAGGGGACAGTCTGTGAAGCTCTAAAGAGGAAAGGGGAGATGGCACTTTTGTTGTTGTCTTAAGGTTTATTTATTAATTAAGCTTGTATTTTACATAAAGAGGTCAGAGGACAATTGAGTTGGCTCTCTCTCTCTCTCTCTCTCTCTCTCTCTCTCTCTCTCTGCCTTTTGAGACAGTGTCTCTCTGTGTAGCCTGTCCTGGAACTCACTCTGAGACCAGCTGGCCTCAGACAAACCTACAGAGATCCACCTGCTTTTGCCTCCCGAGTGCTGGGGTTAAAGGCGTATGCTACCATGCCTAGGCTGGCTTTCTTTCTTTCTGACCTGTTTTTTGTTTGTTTTTTAAATTTTATTTATGTATATGAGTGTTTTGCCTGTATGGTATATATGCCTGTGCCTGATGTCAGATCCCCATAATTGGAGTCCAGACAGTTGCGAGTCACCATGTGGTTGCTGGGAATTGAACCCAGGACCTCTGAAAAGAGCAGCCAGTGCTCTTAATCTCTGAGCCATTATCTCTCGTCCCCGTCTGGCTTGGTTTTTTGAGACAGGTTTTCATGTAGCTCAGGTTGATTTCAGACTTAATTTGTAGCTGGGGGTGATTTTTTTTTATAAGGGTTTTTGATAAGGGCTTTTATAAGGGTTTGATGTAAGAGCCCTAAGACTCTCTTGCCCTCCTTACGGTGGAGGACCCTAAGGTTCCGGCAAAGTGCTTGCTCTTCGCCACTCAGCCAGGAAGTTGGAGAGTCGGAATTTGACTTTGTGCTTGTCTGAGAACTAACTTGAGTGATGAGAAGAAACAGGGGTGATGGTCATGGACATGCCATACAGTGCTGTGAATGCCAAGTTCAGGGGGCCTCAGTCTGTGGTGGGCATTGAAGAGCCAGGGCAGGCTCTGGGTCAGCTTCGGCTTTCAAAGCTCCTTTGGAGTGGTGTGGAGTTGGGTGTGGTGGTGGAGTTGGGTGTGGTGGTGGTTCACCATGACCCCGGCGCTTAGATGGTCAGGAGTTCAAGGTCATCCTTGACTACAGGGCAAATTTGAGGCAAGCCTGGGCTTTGTGAGATCTATTTCAAATTTAGTGACTTAGTTGAAAGGGTTATGCTATAGCTTTGTTGGTAGAGTACTTGCCGGGATTCCATGAAGCCCTGGGGTTGATACCATGCATCCCTTAGCCTGAGTGTGCTGCCCACACCTGTAATCCCAGCGCTCAGGAGGTAGAGGCAGGAAGATAAGAAATTCCAGGAGAAATGTCCCCTGGTCCCCTGGCCTATGGTAGCAGGAGCACCAGCGGCATCAAGGATACCCTGTGGCCACCTGAAGATAGTGACTCAGCCCTGGTTAGTGTGGGCAACTCTGGCTTGGTTTGGCTGTGGATGGGAAGCATGGAGTCAAGTTCCAGGGCGGGAGTGGGGGCCACACCAGACTCAAGCGCCCAGAAATAGATTGCCAAGTTACTTCCTTTTAGCAGACTCTTTGGGTTGCAACTGGAGAGGGTGGAGCATAGGTGTTGGGGAGGCCAGACCTGGATTCTAATCCAGTTTTCTGTCCTGTTTGGCTGTGTGAGCTGCAGCATGCCACTTGACTTTATCTACTTACTTACTGAGGTGTCAGGGATCCAACCCTGTACCTTAAGCATGATAGGCAAGTACTCTATCATTGTGTTATAATACCCTAATTCTGTGTCTCATTTAAAAATGCACACGCCTACAAAATTAGATATTTTATTGATTTAATCTATTATTATTATTATTATTTTGGTTTTTCGAGACAGGGTTTCTCTGTGTAGCTTTGGAGCCTATCCTGGCACTCCCTCTGGAGACCAGGCTGGCCCTGAACTCACAGAGATCTGCCTGCCTCTGCCTTCTGAGTGCTGGGATTAAAGGCATGCGCCACCACGGCCCAGCTATTATTATTATTATTATTATTATTGAATCTCATGTAACCTGGCTGGCCTTCAACTCCCCTATGTAGCTAAGAATAACATTGAACTCAAGACCTTCCTTTTCCACAGCCAACAGAACAACAGAGTGCTGGGATTACAGCAGTGTGGACCACCACAGGCGCCTCCGAAGTTCTTTGTACAGGGCTTGCTTGACACAGAATAAAAAGATGATGAATGAAGGATTAACTATACTATCATCATCAACATTAGCCTATAGCCAGTCAGGGTGGCGCACGCTCTTACTCCCAGCACTCTGGAGGCAGAAGCAGGTATGTCTCTGACTTTGAGGCCAGTCATGGGTTACTTGGTGAGACCCTATCTAGAAACAAAACAACAATAACAACAACAACAAAAAAAATTAGGCAGGTATTGGTATAATATTATTATCCCCAAAGCAACCAATTCCGCCCTCCCTTTCACCTCTAGGTGCTTTCAAATCTCTTGACAAAAACGACACTGGGCAGATCGAAGTGAACATCCAGGAGGTAGGGTGACTTCTCTTGGGCCTGGCTGTTCCAGCCCCTCCCATCCTATCTGCCCAGCAGGCCCTGGGTGAGGTGTCTGGTTCTCCGGGGCTCTGTGCTCATCCGTGCCTTCCTCTTCCAGTGGCTGCAGCTGACAATGTATTCCTGAACAGAGCTGCCTCCTCACAGTTCACTATGGAGCCACCTCGAATCCTGTTCCTGTCTGCAGCCGTGTTTTTATAGTCATGTCCTGCTACCCACAGGCCTTCCTGTCTTGTACCCCAGCTTCCCAGTCAGCAGCCGGAGCTCAACACGCCCCAGCTTGCCATACCCGAGTTACCCCGGGCTCGAAGACAAGCTAGCTGCTCTCTCTGCTGAAGGGTCACCCCACCCCACACACTCCGTTACCTCCATCCTGTCTGTGTGCCAAGCCTAGCACTCCTGTTGCTTCCATGTCCCAAGGGCCCTGTGTCAGTTCTGGGAGGATCATGCCTGTCCCTACACACACCACGCCCCGTTATGCACTCATTCAGTTACCTCCCAGGCAGCCAAATGAACTCCAGGCCTTGGCAGGCCCACACACCCTAGTGCCTGCACTCTTTTTCCCCAGCTGTCAGGCCCAGGAGTAAATAAACTCTCCACTTGCTGCTTCCTATGGGCTCTGCCTCCTGAGTGTTGACAGGTGGCTCAGAGTCCCGGGAGGAGGAAGGCTTTCTGGGGGAACTTGGGCATTTGTTTATTTAATGTGTGTGATTATAATGTGCGCCATGCATTTGCCGTCCTCTGGAACTAGAGTATAAAGGGGTTGTGAGGCACCGGGGGAGATGCTGGGAGCCGAACCCAGGTCCTCTGCAATAGCAGCAAAGCACCATCTATCTCTCTAGCCCCAAGAGAGGTTGGGGTACCTATCTTGGGGACTGCATCTTTTTTTTCCCCTTATACTGTTCTAAGTTGAGACTTAGCTCTGATTTGCTGAGGCTTCTCCTGGGTCCCTCACAGGCTCAGGAGGGAACTCAGAATCCCCTGTAGCTTCCAAAGCTTCCAAGCTGCTACAAGATCCTGGGGACCCGATGTACTCTGTCCCTTGGAGCCATGTTTGTAGCTCTCTGAGCCTCCAGCTCTTGGGTTTTCTGATTGATTGCCTGACTGGTACAGAGTAAGGAACCCAGGGCTTTGCACATGCTAGGCAAGTGCTCTATCACACGCACGCACGCACGCACGCGCGCACACACGGATTCTATGCTCTTCCACTCAGCTATATTACCATCAAGCTTCAATCTTGGCACCAATTTTTATCCTCTCTTGGCCCCCAGATCACGTACAGCATTCCCCCTCCTTTAGAAACAGGGTCTGTCTCTCTCTCTGTTATGCAGCCCTGTCTGTCCTGGAACTACCCTTTGAGGGAAGGGGATTCTGTCCCAGATTGTAAGGTCCCTGCTTCACTCAGCATCACCACTCCAGCTCCTTGGTCCCCCAGTAGGCACCTAATGACTGTCCTCGGTATAGCATTGGTCCAGCGTGAGGGGCCAAGAGCTGGGGTAAGTTGCTTTCCACTGGGTAGACAACCCTGGATGACGGCAAGGTGGGTTGGGACATAGACATACGGGTCAGAGCCGAGTGGGGTTCTTAACAGGTTAGCATGTTTATTGATGTTTGTCCAAGTCCTCCAAGATTCCTGGGGTTACTTCTTGTGGGGGAAGGAGGCCCAGCCCAGGCAGTATAAGCAGTAAGCAGTGCCTAGGAAGGGATGCATAGCAAATGAGACCCCAATTCCTGCTCAACCAACCCCTCACAGGCCCTCAGAGCCCCTCCTTGGTTCTCCCCCCCCCCCATGGGGCAGCTGGGGACCCCCCCCCCGAGCCTGCCTGTTTTGATATGGACCAGGTCGGGAACTTATTTTGGGGTGGGGTGGGCAGATCCATCACTAGCCCCAAGTCCTCAGGGCAATAGGTAACCCATTGCTCCCCTCCTAAGCACTAGTCTGTGCTCGGACCTTATCTGCTCAGGACTCCCCCTCCTGAAGCTCTGTGACCCAGATCCCAGCTAG